TTGGAAAACCAACACTATATAGCGACAAAAACTAAATACCATTATATTGACCATTGAGGAAAGGTTATACATAAGATATTTTCTTGTGTTGTACTCTTTGTTTTAATTAAATTTATTGGGCTGACATTGGTTAGTAAAATTATTTAGGTTCCAAGTGTACAATTCTATAATACATCATCTATGTATTGCATTGTGTGTTCACCACCCAGAGCCAGTTCTGCTTCCATCACCATATATTTGAACCCTTTACCCTTTTCTACCACCTCTCCTCCCACCTCACCCTCTGGTAAACACTAAAATGTTGTCTGTGTCTATGAGTTTTTGTTTGCTTGTTTGTTAATCAGCTTGTTTTACTCTTTTAAGTCTTGGTTAAAAGCATTAAGCTTCAGATAACCTTTTTCCTGCTAGTGTGTTATTTTTGCTTATAGCTTTGCCTTTATAGCACTTATAACTAAATTATGTGGTTATGTAGCTTGTTTGTTCTCTACTAGACTACAACTTCTTGATAATCATTATCCCAGTAGGTTCAATGTTGTCCCCTCACCTCATCCTTTTGTTTAGTATTAATTAATGTGCCTAGCACATACTAAACACCTAAAAAACTATTTGACGAATGAATGAACTTAAAAAGATGCCTTATATAGTACCTTGTAAGTGGTCTGGTAGAAGTTTTTCAAGGACTGCACATTTTAATTTTTTTTGCTGTTCTTTGTGCTTTTGACCTACAACTTACGCAACCAAATTATATAAGTTCTCTGGTAACACCTACGTTGTCAAAATTCAATCAATTTATGTAAAGGAGTTGCCCAAAAATAGTTTCATATGGTATAAATTATCTCTCTGAGGGCCCTGCCTCTTTGCCTTCTCTCAAGAGGTTTGTTTTGAGAAGATTTTCTACTAGGTTAGTTTCATTCTGCAAGTAAGTCTGCAGGTAAGAATTGGGTATAAATATAGTCAAAGTAAACAATGAGAGGTATGATTAAGAAGCATTTTGTTGAAGAAACATCTATAAGCCTGTACCTCTTAAAAAGCATTTTGTCTTTCTGTTTAAAATACTCAGATCACAAATACAGTCCCTTGTTTAATATTTTCATAGCCTTTTTGATAAAATAATCTACTTGTCAAATCATTTATGGGCTTTTGCATGTCAGTGTTTTAACCATTAATATTTATACTAATGTATGCTTTCCTTAAAAGTCCAATTCATAACATGTTTTTTAAATAAAATTTTGTACAGACGTAGGTGTGTAGCTTATAAAAAGCTGAAATAAAATATTTTTACAGATGTATGTGTATAGCTTATAAAAAGCTGAAGTGATTGTATGCTTTAATATCCAAACCAGGCCACTTTCAAGAGACAACGCAAGCACTATTAATAATTGTCCTCGGGTAATGAGCACAAATTAGGACTTTTCTGGCTATAAACTAGGACTATTCTAGGCAAACCAGGAAATATGGTCATCCTACTTAACAGGAAAACACAGCAGTCCTTTGCCCTACCCTATTCTCTCATTCCCAGTTCCATTTTCCAAAGGCAGCAAACCTCAACTCTTTAGCTGTTCTAGGATTTACCTTCATATTTCTATATGATGTGCTTATAGTGTTATTTCATGATTTTTCAATATTATATATGTTTTCCTTATTCAACATTGTCCTCACTTCCCCTAACGTACATCAACCCATGTAAATAGTAAAGAGTTCACCCAAACACAGCAATACCTCCTTTATTGAACAATAGCTCTATTTTCCAAAGTTAGAAAATTTATTAAATTGCCATTTGTTCTGTGTACTCTACATTTTCTTTTCCTATTGCCACATACCAAAATAGTTTCTATTTGATGCTATTTTTTTCTTAGAACTTTGCTTCCATTATCTGCCGTCATGCTCCAGTCTTGATAAGTTGCTCCCTGTGCTTTCTACATACCTTTGTAACTGTTTCCGGTTTTGTGTCTGGCTCTTTTGTTCCTCACACTGCCATTTCCCTAGGACATGCTCTTCACTTAGCTTCCTGTGGTTTTTGTTTTATTTTTCTATTGTTTTTTAAAAGATTGTGCACATCTGAAAATGTGTCCTCTTCTCCATCTCACGTTTAGTTGTCAGATTGGAATTCAAGGCCAGGCATTTTTCTCAGTACTACAGTTATTGCTTCGTTGTCTTAAAAGTTTTTAAAGCTGTAATTAAGAAGCCATTCTGATTACTTTGGCACGTGACCTGTTTTTTCTCTCTTGTAACTTATAGGTGTTCTGAAATTTCAAGATGATAAATTTTGCTTAATGTTGGTCTTTTTTCTTTTGATTTGCTGAGTACTCTTGGACCTTTCAGTGTGTAGACTTTTATCCTTTAATTCTAGATTTTTTCATTTTTTTTATAGTTTTTTTCTCCATGTTCTTCTCTCTTTCTATAACCATATTACAGTCAAATGATAACTCTCTTGGACAATTCTCCTGTTTTCAAGTTACATTTTCTACTTCTGGGAGGTTTATTCCTTTTACTCACAATTCTTATGTTGAAATTATTTCAGTGTGTTACATTTTTAAAAAGTGTATCACTGAATTTCCACGAGCTTTTTATTATATTGTAGTTGCTTTCTCAAGCATCCTGTTATTATTTTATGAATGAATGTTTTATCCCTTTGAGGATAGTAATTGCTCCTTTCCCCAGATTTTCTCTGAAATCCTTTTATTATTGTTTGCTTTGGTCTTTCATATTTGAGCTCTTTCTAGGATACATAGTGGTGTTTGATGTTTGTCTATTGAAGGGAAGCACTAAAAAAGTTGATTAGAAACTTTTGGTGACTAGTGGACTTTGCTGTGGGTTAGGTAAACTAGCATTGCAATTAGGAGCATTCAAAATGTTGATATCCAGAAATCCTATCTCCTGTTTTGTTTGGTGATCCAAGAGTAAAATCCCTTAATCTTCTGAGAGCACTGCAGAAACAAAACCATGAAAGAGCCCTTGGGTCTCAACATTGAGTGTATAGATTTTCTTTTATTCCTTATACTTAACTTCCATAGAGATGATTGTATATTTGGGGGATAGGGGAGAAGGGAGAGTGGGGATTGCTTGTGAAATCCTTATCCTCCAGAGAATGCATATCCTATTTTTAGAAGAATGAACGTAGGGGAAGACTTTAGAGTTTTACTGCTCCAACTACATATTTTAATTCACCATCTCGCTTTTCAACCCTTTTTATGGTACTTTGTACCTCCAGGTAGGTCTTGATTCTTTCCAGGGTGCTAAGGTCAAATGCTTTGCTTTTAGTTCTACCTCTTTACAAGTACCTAAGGTGTAGTTTTATCCTCTGCTCAATTATTCTACTTCTCCTACTTTGGATTTTCCAAACATACATTGAAATCTCTTGCCTTCTATGGCTCTGCTTCCTGTTCTTTTCATGGTTAAAGCTTTTGAACTAACTTACTATCATTTTATAGACAGTAAAGGGTTTCGGAAAGAGGGACCATATCCTCGTATAAGGATAACTATCATGTTTTAACAAGAAATGCAAAACTGACTTTTTTGATAAGCTTTCTTTGATTTAATCCTATTTCACAGTATAGCTTTTACTCTGGTTTCTCAGTAGCTAGCTATTCTTAGTTGAATTGATATTGCACTTCTGTTGTATCTTTTTCATGTTTGTTTGTCTCCTGCAGTATAGACCATGTTTTGTTTTTTGCTCTCTTCTGTCATTCCTGATATCATATTTTTAAGATAGATATTATTGAAAAAGGAAATTCTTTTATAGTAACTTTTCAGGAATAAAGGTGATTGATTTAAAACAAATTAGGTATTTTTAACTTAAATGTTCAAATTTGAATGTTTTAATAAAGCAATTATATACCTTATCCAAGCTACACATCGAATAAGTGAAGTATATCTGTTTATACTTTTCTTAAATTCAATAACACTTCCAGGACAATAGGAATAATTTCTGACCTTGAAAGTGGGTAGAAGTTGAAAAGATTGTGATTTCTTTTTATTTGCTACTTTCTTTTGCCCTTCTTTGTACTCTTCAAGACTGGTGGCATCTCAGTTATCCATAGGTCTCATTGTAAATCCTTTCCCCAGGTAACATTATTATTTTTTTTTTAATAAAGGTAATATCTTTATAGTAGAACTATTTGTAATAAGCCTAAAACTGGAGACAATCCAGTGTCCCCCCACAGTAGACTAGGCAAATGAGTTGTGTGTATTGATACTATAGAATATTATATAAACCAATTGGGGTGCATTTACTACAACTGCATGCAACAATACAAATGAATCTCACAAATATAATGTTGAGCAAATGAAACCAGACATAAAAGTACATTTTATATGACTCCATTTGTATATAGTTAAAAATCTGCTGTAGCAATAGTTACTCTTGGCCTGGGTTGAAGAATGTTTAGTGAAGAAAACTTAAAAATTATTCTCACTTTTGAGTAGGGGAAATAGACAGGAAAACAAATTACCACATAAGGTAGAATGATGTCTTAATGAAAGTATCTACAAAGTGGAAGCACACAAAGAAAAATGCTTGTTTTAAGACCATGACCAGGAATAGAATGGGGAATGTGTAAACTTTCTAGGCATACAGAGGCCTACGAGAGCATATTGTGTTAAGGTGTGTGCACATAGTACAATATAGCTAATGTTCACAGTATGAGTATTGAACACACTAATAATAGGTAAGAATAGCAAGATAATCAAGGGAAAATTCATGTAGGGTTTTATGGAGAGACGACATTGACCAAGAAAAAGAGACCAGGCTTTGGAAACAACAAACCTCAGTTCCTTATCCCACTTTTGTGTGCTTCATTTTATGGACAGTAGGGAGCCTTTGGTAGACTTTAGAACTCTGCCTCATAGAAGAGGGGTGATGATAATCTTATAATTTACCATGCCAGATATAGTTATTTTACCTGGTTAATTTTTTATTTGAGCTGATGATTAAGGAGGATTAAGAAAAGAAGGTTTGCATGTTTTTCCAAAAGCAATTAATCAAAATTTGCATTTCACAGGAAACCTCAAGAATGGAGTCTAAACCTTCAAGGATTCCAAGGAGAGTTTCTGTTCAACCATCCAGCTCTTTAAGTGCTAGGATGATGTCTGGAAGCAGAGGAAGTAGCTTAAATGATACCTATCACTCAAGAGACTCTTCATTTAGACTGGATTCTGAATATCAGGTAACATCTTAATGTGGAATATGTACACAGGCTCTTTTTTAGAATGTTTGGGGCTACATATGGTTTTTTAGATTTTAGATAAATAGTAGTGTGTATTTATAATACCCTCAGCTCAATTTCAAGCATCCTGTAGTCAAAACACATTTAATATGTCTGCAGCAAAATGAATGACTGTTAATATCAATTAGCAGAAACTTAATGTTTTTCAAACTTTTGGACTTCAGAATTATGAATAAGGGATTATATAAAATCATCATACTTTACAAAGACTTGGGAACCTTTTTACTTAAAAACATAAGTATCAATTTAAGTATTAATTTAAGTTGATATTGAAGATTTTGGTTTTTTATTGAAACAAAAGCCCAGTTTATTTGTTCATTTCTTGCATTTGAAGTACTCCTCGATGACATCCTTGGCCTGAGATTCTTTGCAAAGTCCTTAACCACCACATACCTGCAACCAAGCACTTTACATGGTTTTCCCTGTCAGTTTTACAGAGGCCTACCCATTCCCCTGGTTTCTTGTTGTCATCAACCTTAAGTAGGTGGATTTGGTGTCCAGCACAGAGGGACTCCAGCAACTTGATGTACATAGGTCCATTGCAGTTGGATGCAAGCACACAAAGATGGGCTTGGCGCTTGTCTAAGGCTTTGGCAGCTTCGCAAAGTCCACGTGCTAGGCCATCATGGATGAGGGCAGTCTTCAGCACCTCTCGTAAAGCAGTATTAATGTCCATTACACCTCCAGCCACATTTTGTTTATCCATTTATGATGATGGATATGCAGGTTGTTTTCACCTTTTGACTATTATGAATGATGTTGCTATAATCATTTATGTGCAAGTTTCTGTGTGGACTTACATTTTCAGTTATCTTGTGTATATACCTAAGGGCGGAATTGCTGAGTTATATGGTAACTCTGTGTTCAGTTATTTAAGGAACTGCTATCAACCAAGGCGCAACTACAAAAGAAGGGCACATACAACCCATACAAGGGACACACCTGGAGTGCGTGGCTCAGGTGACCAGAAAGACTGCCACTGAACCCCACAGCCACTGAACCCTACCTAAGGTCACTCTACTAAAACCAGAAGACATAGTAGCCCTACCTAATGCATAGAAACAAACACAGGGAGGCAGACAAAAGGGAGAGAGAAAGAAACATGTCCCAAATGAACAGAACAAAGCTACAGAGAAAGAACAGAACAAAGTTCCAGAAAAAGAACTAAGCAAAATGGAGAAAAGCAATCTATCAGACACAGAGTTCCAAACCTTGGTTATAAGAATGCTCAGGGAGAACTTCATCAGGGAGATAGGAAGCATAAAAATGGAGATGGAAACCATAAAAAAGAACCAGTCAGAAATAAAGGATCCAATAATGGAAGTGACTAGATTACAGGGAATCAACAACAGATTAGATGAAGCAGAGGATCCAATGTAGAAGATAAGGTAGCAGAAAACTTTCAACCAGAAGAGCAAAAAGGAAAAGGAATTAAAAAAATTGAGGGGAGTTTAAGGGGCCTCCTGGACAATATCAAGCATACAAACATTCTCATTATAGGGGTATCAGAAGGAGAAGAGAGAGAGCAAAGGAATTGAAAACCTCTTTGAAGAAGTAATGACAAATAAGTTCCCTAATGTGATGAAGGAAATAGACATACAAGCACAGAGAGTCCCAAACAAGGTAAACCCAAAGAGGCCAACACCAAGACACATCATAATTAAAAGGCCAAAGGTTAAAGACAGAGAATTTTAAAAAGCAAGAGAAAAGCAGTTAGTTACTTACAAGGGATTCCCCATAAGACAGACGGTAGATTTCTCAACAGAAACTTTGCAGGCAAGAAGGGAGTGGCAGGAAATACTCCAAGTGATGAAAAGCAATGACATACAACCAAGATTGCTCTACTCAGCAAAGCTGTCATTTATTAGAATTGAAGGACAGATAAGGAGCTTCCCAGACAAGAAAAAGCTGAAGGAGTTCATCACCACCAAACCAGTATTACAAGGAATCTTAGAAGGATTTCTTTAAGATAGGAGGGGGGTTAAGAATGGCCGAAAGGGGAAGGGATCAAGAAGTACAAATTGGTTGTTACACAGGAGTCAATGGGGATGTAGGGTATAGCATATGGAATATACTCAATAATACTGTAATAACTACATATCGTGCCAGATAGATACTAGATCTATCAATGTGATAGATGGGAATGGGGTTGGGGGCAGGGTGAAAAGGTGAAGGTAGTAAGAAATACAGATTGTTAGTTAATACATAATGGGGAGTATAATCAACGATGTTGTAAAGATCATGTGAGGTGCCAGATGGGCACTGGACTTATCAGGGGAATCACGTTATAGACTGTAGATGTCTGACCAATGCACTATACACCTGAAACTGATGTAGAATAATATTGAATGTCAACCATAACTAAATATATAGGTATATATAATCATGGGATATAGAGTACAGCATAGGGAAGAATGGTATTGTAATAGCTATATAAGATGCCAGAGGGGTAGTAGCTTGGAAGGTGGTTATCACTTTGTGAGGTATGTAAATGTCTGTTACATTGCTTTGTATACCTGAAACTAATAAAAATTTAAAAGAAAAAAAAACTATTTAAAAATGTCCAGAGGATCTTAATAGCTATTTTTCCAAAGACGATGTACAGATGGCCAATGGATATATGAAAAGATGCTCAACATTATTAATCATTAGGGAAATGCAAATCAAAATGACAGTGAGATATCACCTCAAATGCCTTTATTTTTTTATTTTTTATTGGGGGACTGGGGAAGGAGAACAGCGTTGGGGAATCGGGGGAGGGGAACAGATAAGTTGCTGTCCTTTTGTTCTTCAGTCTAGTTGTGAAGGACGTTGCTTCACTGGCCCATGTTGGTATTATCATTGCGCTCTTCCCAGGTGAGGCAGTTGCTCTCTGGCCATTGGACGGCAGCTCACGCCAGCTGCCGGCTACTCATGGTAGCTCATGGCAGCCCACTGCAGCCTATGCTGTTGCTGGCGACTCAGGGCAGCCCAGCTCCAGGTCGAACTGTTGTTCACCATCTTAGCTGTAGATGGCGCAGCGTCACTGGCCCTCATGTGGGATCCAAACCGGTGGCTCTGGGGCTCAGAGCTCGCGCTTTCAAGCCAACTCTTAACCAATTGAGCCACTTGGCCTGCCCTCAAATGCCTTTAAATAGCTGTTATCAAAAAGACAAAAAGTATTGGTGAGGGTGTAGAGAAAAAGGAACCCTTGTGAATTGTTGGGAATGTAAATTGGTGTAACCACTATGGAAAACAATATGGAGGGTCCTCAGGTTTAAAAATCGAAGCACCGCATGATCCACCACTTCCAATTCTGGGTATTTATCTGAAGGAGAGACAAAAACACTAATTTGAAAAGATAGCTGTACCTCATGTTTATTGCAGCGTTATTTACAATAGCCAAGACACGGAAACAAGTCTCAATCGACGGATGAACGGGAAAAGAAAATATGGTGTGTAAATATATACAATGGAATATAATTCATCCACTAAAAGAAATTCCACTATTTGTGACAAAATGGATGGACCTTGAGGGCATTGTACTACTGGGTTGTTGGAAAAGTCATAACATAGTATTTCTGTTTTTCGTTGCAAATATGCATCATGACTTTTCCAACAACCCAATATATGAAATAAGTCAGAGAAAAACAAATACCATATGATCATTTTTGTATGTAATCTTAAATTTAAAAACAACCAACCAAACAAATTAGTAAAAAAGAGAACAAATTGGTAGTTGCCAGGGGCAGGAGGTGGGGAGATGAAGGGGCAAAATGGGTGAAATGGGTCAAAAGGTACAAACTTACAAGGCTTGGGGATGTAATGTACAGCATGGTGACTAGTTAATAATACCGTATTGTACATCTGAAAGTTGATTTAAGAGTAGGTCTCAGGTTTTGAACACAAAGTAAAAGAAGTTTGCATTGGTTGTGGATATTAAATAGAATTATCATGGTTATCATTTTGTAATATATACATATATGTCAAATCATTATGTTGTACACCTGAAAGTAACATAATATTATAATTCAATTATATCTTAGTTTTTAAAAGAGGAGAGGTAAGAGGAAACATCCTTGCTTTGTACCTGATGTTAGCTTTGAGTTTCTCACTATTAAGTATGTTAGCTGTACATTTCTTGTCAATATTCTTTTCTTTTCTTTTTTTTTTTTTCTTTAAAGATTTTATTGGGGATTGGGGAAGGGAACAGTGTTGGGGAGTTGGGGAAGGGAATATTGTGTTTTTCCAGTACCCATCATCTCCAAGTCAAGTTGTTGTCCTTCAGTCTTAGTTGTGGAGGACGCAGCTCAGCTTCAAATCCAGTCTAGTTGCGGGGGGAGGGAGAGGCAGCCCACCATCCCATGCGGGAGTCTAACTGGGGCAACCTTGTTAAGAGCACGCACGCTCACCAGCTGAGCCACCCAGCCGACCATTGGCAGCTCAGCAGTAGCTCAGCTCAGGCACAGCTCACTGGCCCATGTGGGAATCGAACCAACGACCCTGTTGCTTAGAGCTCGCACTCTAACCAATTGAGTCACCGGCCGGCCCCTAAATATTCTTTATTAAATGGAGGAAGTTACTCTCTATTTTTAGTTTGCTTGAGTTATCATAAAAGGAGCATTGGATTTTATCAGATGCCTTTTCTTCATCTAATGGTATAATCATGTGGTCTTGTTTCTTTCTTTTTGTTTTAATTGGAAAACAGTGTGTTTTTCCAGGACCCATCAGCTCCAAGTAGAGTAGTTGTTTCAGTCTAGTTGTGGAGGGCACCGCTCAGCTGCCCATGTGGGGATCGAACCGGGAACCGTGGTGGTGTGAGCCTGCGCTGTAACCAACTGAGCTAACCAGCCATCCCGGGTCTTGTTTCTTTAGCTTATTGATAGATTAAATTGATTTTCAGATGTTGAACCAGCAGTCTTACATACCTGGGTTAAATCCCACTTGATTGTGGTGTGTAA